TGCATTGATCCACCTAATTACAATAATCCATAATTTTTTCTCTCTCTTCTCTACTATCAACATTATACGCTTTCCTTTTGTCAAAAATAAACGTACTTTACTTATGAGCAAAATTCACGTTTTTTTGACAAACCTCGTATACGGTTTGAAAAATTTGATATTGGATGACTCTATTCTAGGTTTTAGATAATGCAGCACTTTTTATGAAGAATAACTTTTTTCCTAAAATTAATAATAAAAAAGTTTTCCATATGATTCCAACCTAGGGGGACATACTGTATATTTTTTTTAATATCCTGAAAAACTTCTACTTATGCTTAATAAGTAAATGTATATTGGTTTGTTTTAGATATTAGATATATATTTTTTCATGTTTAAATAATATGTATTTCTTCAGTTCTACCCGAGAATACCGATCAAGGAGAAGCGACAGTAGCTGTAGGTGCCTTTGATATCGGATGTACCTTTTTCACAGCATGACTTTGATTGATACACAACTTAGCACGCTGAGAAAACATGCTAATTTTCTACACTGAGCGAAATAGTTTGGTAAATTATCTGAAATTATTGTTATAGTCCATGCGCAAATGTTGCAATGTGATTTAATTACATTGCAGTAGTTAGGGTTAATAGCAATGGTGAAATTTCGGCACCAAAATATAATTCTTTATGTAATAATTAATTATTTGTTATAAAAGTAAAAGACGTTTATTATTTTATAATTTATCTATAAAATTTGTTCAATATTTGGTTTATTTATTGTTAAAAATGTAATAAAAGCCCCATATTTAAATTAAATTACCTTTTCCCTAAGTAAAAATAAGGTAAATAAAATTAAGGGTGCAAAAAAAATAGGTAACAATTAAAAAGACATTAAGTTTGAGAGAATTAACTAAATATTTGCAATGTGCATATATTTTCAAAGCTTTTAGGTTTAAAAAGTACTTACATATTTTTAGAATTTCTAGATTTATATTATATTAAAAGGACTTTCAAGTTTGTCACTCATTTCTGTAGAAACAAATGTTTTCTCGCCAAGTTAAACGAGATGTCATTTAAGGTTTATGTATTTAGAATTAAATACCTGGTCTGGCTATCACCCAGACAATACAAATATGTCCATTGGACGTCCATTCGATATACAATTTTGGATGTCTAGACGTCCAAAAATGACTTTTCTGGACTTCCGACATCCAATGGACGTCCAGTGAAGTATACAAATGGCACACTTTTGACCATTCAGAGTACGTCCAATTCTGGAATATATTTGGACGTCGAATACTGGACATTCAAAAAGCGTCCAGGATTATATTTCCATTGAGACCGCATCCCCATTTTTTTTACAGAACCGCAACTTACTAAACACTATTTTATATTATTAATAATTTGTTATTTTCGCAAACCGCTATACAACATTTATTTATTTTTTATTAAAAATTGCTTGACCTGAGCAGGAATCGAACTCACGACACATCCATTATCGTTAAACGCTTTCAATCGCTAGACGAGCTCGACCAAGAAACCACTTGAAAACTTTTTACTAGATACAGTTATAATTGAATAAGATTTCAAACTTCCGCTGATAGAATGAAATGCAATAGATTTAATTTGTCAATTTTTAATGACCAGTTATATTAAAAAAAAGAAGTATATATAGATGGGTGTTATCTGGTAGGCTTAATAAATAGTGACCTAAGATGGACGTCAAAATACTACTAAACTTAAAATTAAGTCCAAAAAGAGACGTTCTCTGGGTATTGATATTCAGCTGTCAATTTAATTAGCATAATCGGACGTACACTGGATGCCCGGATATGGACGTCCTGACCCTCAAATAGATCTAAAGTGGACGTCCATTGGACTATGTGTGCATAGACGAATTTTTAGAAATAGTACTTATTTAAGTATGCACCAATATTTCCAAACTCAACTCCAGTATGATTCATTCAATAAATGTAAATATGAATGGGCAAAACATCTTTATATTGACATCATTGTAACTTAAAATTTAGCCATAATAAAAGGATTTCGCCCACTTTGACCAATCCTAATTGAAACACGCGAATTTATTATATTTTTTTAAATATAATTTCAAAATAAAATAAATAAAATCTGCAGTTCATTGTTTATTAAATTTATTTATAAGAAGAAAAACATATATTTCACAAAATACAATACCTGCATTTGAAAAATAAAATGTCAAAAATGATTAAATCATTATACTTAATATTTATGCATGTGATAAAATTCTTAGTTTCCTAATAACTTTTTTGGCACATTTTATATCTGTATTAGAATACCTAAGTGTGTAAAAATCTTCATCTTATTACTACATAAAACAAACACCAAAAAATATCACTTAACATTGCTCACGTACTAAACACAACTTGGACTGATTTTGACAGATAATATAATTTTGAGTGATATACAACTTAGTTTCGCACATGCGCGTTACAAAACGGTACACTGAAAACACCAAGCTGTCGCTTCTCCTTGATCGGTATTCTCGGGTTCTACTATTGTATATGTTTTCAATAGGTATAGATATTTTATAGAATTCCAAATCCTTGCTGTAAACCTAAATATTTTAGAAGCAATAAAATATTTTTTGCATTTTTATTATATTTTTTGACATGACAATAATATCATATTTTCATTCAGTTCAATACAAACATACCTATCTTTTAAATATTACAGTTCATCAAATTTCTAGAGGTGTTCGACGCCCAGACAGAGAACGCGCTACGTGTGACTAAGATAGCTATTGTACAGTCTGCTAAACAAGTTATTTTAAATAGTTTTTAATATTTTTAGGTAATTAAATTTTAAAAGTGTGGAATAGTTTAGGGATTAAATTGGTCTGATTGGACTATCTTAGAACGTTTTTAAAAGCAGCTAAAGATAGTATGTAGAATTGAAAATAATTATTATGCCATAAAAGGTGTTTTGGAATTCCTTCAACCTTTTGAAATTGAGTCAGAAAATATAAATTTTATAGGATAGCGGAAAATACCTATAATTTTTTTGTAGGCCTTTGTAAATCGTGGAAATAGTTTATATTTTATTTCTACCTTATTAAGGAAAATGGTACCTATTATTAATAACGGTTGTTTCTGAAACATTACTAAAATTTTCGAAATTTTGTTTTTTTACAAAATAATAAACTATACTATTTAGAAAAAAATTTATTTCTCTTATAATTTTATAAAAAATAACAGGGGAATATTTACATTTCTTGATCTATTAAACAAAACGATAAATTATCTCGACGAATGACACCATGTTCTAGTACGGAAGCTAGCTTTACATTTTTGTTGGTGGTTTCATGGGTTTCATATCAATTTTTTGTAATTGTAGTTTACACGTACATATACCTCTTAACACTTGTTTGCTTTATTAAAAAAGTGTGTTGTTGTGATTTACGTCGAAATAAGTCAAAAACAACTTGAAACCCCATATAAAATCAAAAAGGAGAAACGGAAAAAAATTGAGCCTGTAAATGAACATAACTCAGAAACAAAAATAGATATCTAATAATAAAAAAATAAAATTTGATTCTTGTGCAGCTTCATCTATATCATTAACTGTTTTTGGTTTTTTAATGGTTTTTCTTGGTGATGAAAATTCCGATATCTCACGGTTATCGATTCTTTTTTTCTCTCCAGAAATGCGGACGACAGTGTTTTTAGATACTCCTGTGGCTGCAGCAACACGATCATTTACATTTTTAAATGGTATTGAAGGTGAATTAAAGTTTCCTTCTCTTCTCATAAACTCTATAACATTGGCTATTATTTCGCGAGATTGACTGTTAATCACGCGGCCTCTTAATTTGCTATTAAACTCCATACTTAGGTTCTATTAAACTGTAATGAGCAAAAAACACAAACGAAAATAAAAGAAATGTTTTAGCGAAATTTACATCTGACATTTACGTCTGAATGAAATAGTGAAATACTTGATGCGCAGAGTGTACTTTCATTGCGTAAATCCGTCGGGATGCCTGTCAGTAGTGCTTTCTCTGTCTAGCCGTCGAAAGCCTCTAGAAATTTGATGAACTGTATTTTATATTTTTCATCTATTTACAGTAACTATTTTCACATTTAAAATAACCCAACGCAATCCGTTTACGTACGCTACTGCTAAAAATTCTAATATGAGCGAGAAAGCCTACATTAGAAAAAGAAAATCATTTTATTATAGCAACATTGTAGCGACATCAACATTGTATAGATTTAGGCAGTGGTAGCCTATCTGTCAATATATTATCTAAATGGGATCGCATTCCTGGTATGCCGATTGGCCTTCTTCTATATAGTCTTCGTATTTGTAAAGCAAATTTGCACATACTTTGATTTTCTCTTACTATACGGAGAATGGTCGCACTGCGCAGCTTTCTGAGTGCCTTTTAAAAGGAGATAAAAAACTCCGCCATTTTGATGCCTTATTACGTGTTGCCTACATCTTGGCGCAATAATTTTAATATTTTGCTTGCTGCTGTCAGTGTCACAAAATATTATTTTTGGAGTCACAGTTTATTGCTAAAGAATCAGTTAGCTCACTCGAAACAGTTGAAAGTTCCAAAATAAAGTCCACTCCAGGGATACAAATTCAGGATGCGTAAAATACTGCTGTTTTACTATAGGTGGTTGTCATATATTGTATAATCCGAGTTGCGCAGTGTATAAACTGGAACATTGAGATCAAAAGTGCCCACGCAGAGTGAGCGAACTGATTCTTTAGCTACAAACTGTGGTAAAGGCATAAAAATGGCCGCGCTCTATGTTGAGCGTGTCGGACCTCTCTTTTGCACCGTATAGTAATCAAAGTATGTGCAAATTTGAAAATGCGTTGACCAGAGGTCCATGAACTGAAAAATTAGTTATTCTTAAATTATTATCTATCTTTCATCTTTTTTCTCTATATTGATGTATTTAAATAAAAGAACACCCTTTAGATACATGAAATTAACATCATCTAGTGATCGCGGCCAGTGATTAGTTTGGCATGTTACTGACAATTTGAAACGAACAACTCAAAATTTTTTCATTTCATTTTTTGTCCTCGCTTATTTAACTGCAAAGATGGCTTGCTGCCCCCCAAATAACCCTAATATGCCGAGATCTAATATAACTTGCCCTCCGTGTCCGCCATGTTGCGCACCGTGTACTATCCCGGTGATCGCCGACAACCTACCCAAGATGCCTGTTCTGCCGGTCCCCGGTATGGGTCAACATGTGGAGTGCAATCCAGTTTGCGTACCGCTGAATGCTCCAGTTTGCCCGCCACCACCACCAATGATGAGGAAAAAGTGTAAATACATACAGCCAGCCAGACCGAAATCGTACGCTCCCCAAAGAAAATTTATTCCACCAGAAATGAAGATGGAGGGCAACACCATCTACAGGTAACAAGTTACATTATAATGTTTTGTTTAAATTTAACATGTAACACTTGATTTAACTTTATCCAAGAACTAGAAGTTATTAATTTTTCCAATATGAGATGGTCCGCAAAATACTATTAATTAAATTTAAAAAAATTCACTTTTTCTTGTTAATAATGATTTACCCACCTACGTATAGCTTCTTTCACTTCAATCAGCTTTCTTGATCTAGGTCTTCCACGTCTTTATTTTCCTCTTGGATCCCATTGTAATATTTAAAAAACCAGTGTTATATTTTTTCTGTGAAAACGTTTCCTACACTGTATCTATGGATTTCTTTATTTTATTATGTCTTCTTTCAGCTCTTGTTGAATTTTTTTGTTATATTCTTTGTTTTAGCTGGGTACAGTAGTATATTGGTCAGATGATTGTGTTGTAGATCTATATTTTCGTGTTTTTTTTGTGGGTAATTTACTTTAAATAAATTTTCGTTTGCGTGGAAGGTTTTATTTGTAGTGATTATTTTTTCGCTATTTAATACTTCTTGATGCTGCTTTATTATCTAATCTCATATTTTTGGTTCTTGTTGGTTTAACTGCAGTCCCTCAATTTTTCCTGATTCTTTAATTTTGTTCGATATTTTTCCAAATTTTTTCTTGTTTTTTAAATTAACCACTACATCATCTGTGTATGCAATGACTTGTCATTCCCATGTTCTCAGCGTCCCTTTATTAATTTCACCGGCCATCAAATGAAAATTTTTGGAACATTGTTTCTATTTGAGTAAAAAATATCATTAATTCTTAGCATTCTTATCACAAAAATACATACAGATATACTCTATCACATCAAGTTTTTTTACAAAAGGGAAAAATAATTTTTTTCGAAATTTTAAGAAAAAATCAATTATGTTACAAATAAATATATTTAAACACTTATTAAGAAAATATCAATAAAAATCATTACAACAGAATTATTTTGAGTGGCATCTTTTACGTTTAGCCATAAAATTACGCCTGGGTGTCATTTTTTTGTGAATATCATCAGTAATATCGCATTTCAGTGACCAGCAGTAATCAGCCATCATATTCACATTCCATCGACCTTGATATATTGTTTCCATAGTTTTTATGTCTTGGTGGAACCTTTCTCCCTGTTCTTCACTATAATCACTAAGATTATCAGGAAAAAAATCTAAATGTGAATCTAAAAAGTGAAGTTTTAGAGCGCTTTCACACGAAGATACTGTATACGAGATACGCGTATCCGAGATTCAGGCTGATCATACATTCAAATGGACCTATTCACACGGTACGGGCGACGCATACAGTATCACGATACGGAATTTTTGTATCCCGGCACCGTCAGCCGCGGACGCTGAATGCGTAGCCGCATACAGAATTACTATTACGATATATGGACCTTTTCAGACATGGATACTTTTGCAACGGAGATTATGGATCTACGTCAACTCATCGCCCGATAATTCATCGCGCGAAAATTCAGAGCCGACATTCACCGTAAGACGATTCACCGCCACGACAATTTGTCGCCAGCCATTTTTTAGAATTCATTTTATGGTTTATTTTATTTTTTTTATTATAATCAAAATTTTATTTTATATATTTTTTAGTATAGGTAATAAAAAACAAGTAGGTATATTGAAAAAAAAATATATTATAAAAAATTGTAGTTGATAGTTATTACATTTTAAATTGAATTAATATAATATAATAATATTAAATAATTTAGACTTGCATTCGAAAATTATGCGCAATTCCTCGAAGATATTCCATGGTATTACGAGCGTCGTAGGATTCTGTAAGTAGTTTTAAACGACGTGCAGAATCTTTGTAATTTTTTTTTTGAGTAATTTCATTACCTGCCACAATTTGCTCTATTTTCAATTTGTTAAGGCTTTCCTCCTTTTGTAAAGCCTTAATTAGCCTCCAAATGTTGGGATGTGCAATGGAAACAATTGAACTGAAACTGTTATGCCATCCTTCAACTGCATTACTGGTTCTAGCAATTCCCTCTCTGGCTGCATTGTAACAATTCCAAGAAGATATAGGAAATTTTGGTAACCGTCTTCTTCCTTTTCTGTCTAATCTACCAATCCACGTGTCTTCAAAATAGTTTATTAAATCTCGTTTTCTGCATAGAATTCACTTTCCAATAATAAATCAAAGCACTCTCTACATCGTCTTCAGGAACATAAGCAAGTGCAGCCAGAAGTCGCAAATTTGATGAAAACACTTCTTCATCCACATATCGCCTCTGAAATCCGGTATTCTGGATTTGTCTCCATATACACTAAGAAAAATGAAAAAAGTATCCACGAATTTGAGTATTAGGGAATTCACTTCGTACCGTATTCATCGCTGCTTTTTCGAAATCCATTAAAAAAGATGTAGGACAAAGTTCAGGTTTCAAATTTTTTAATGCTGCATATAAACGTCTATAGCTTTCTTCTCTTTTATTTGGCAGAATTTCATATACTGTTGGAATGGTATTTGAATATTTGACACCATGGATTGCATATATTTGGGAAAACATATTAGGGGCTGTTGAAAAAGTTCCATCTCCGTACCAGTGTTCACACTCCAACATGTAGTCAAGATTTCTTGCTGTTGTAAACACTAATATTCGATCTTCTGATGGGCCGCTGTCGTACATTAAAAATAACTGACCACTGCTTGTCAGTGTATATTCCTGTGGAATTACTAATTGAAGCAGAGAATTTGGAATCGCAGGAATTCCTTGTCTTTTCCTTTTTTCGTTGAATAGTTCTTTTCATTGCACTCACTTGTGGTAATCTGGCTGCAGCCGATGATGATAAACCCTCGGAAACCTTTGCAATGATTTGTTGAGTAGTGGAACCACTTTGTTCAGCTAAAACTTTAATTTTTTTAACAGCTCTTCTTACTTCGGCGTCAGCACTATCTGACACATAATTATGTTCGGTACTCTTCACAATTTCATTGCCTATGGTATGAATTCGACCGGTACATCTCCATTTATGATATAGAGAACATTTCCAAATACCTTTTTCTCCAGAAATTTTTTCTCTAGAATGTGTATGGCCATTGTATAAAAGCATTTTGTGACCTGTTTCGCTGTCAACAAATTGTAACGGCATTTTCAAATTTTACAATGATGTAAACTCGTACAAAGACAAAATAAGAATGAATACAGTTCGTTGGTATTTCTTATTTAAACCTTATATTGTATATTATAAACAGGGCATCTAAAATACTAACTTACACAAACAAGCTATTGAAGATAATCTTTTTTAGAATTAAATATTGATTACACTATGAATTTCTCCTTGAAAGGATTAATAAAGGATAATTATAATTTTCTATTATTATTAACTAATGTGGTAACTTACCCGAATTGGCTAATGAAGATAATCCTTTTTAAATAGTAGGTAAAGGACTGTTGAGAACCTGCGACTGCCGCTTATACACTTTAAATTGGCTTATCAATAATACATTATTGATATTTATTATATTTTTCTTAGTAAAAACTACTTGATTAGCAGAAAAAAAGTAAATCATATTTTTGTGTAATTTAGAGTAAGATATTTTGTAATTTTTTCGAAAAAATAATTTTATTTGGTACTTATAAGAAAAATTCAATATGGTACAAAAAAAATTGTTTGTTTTTCAGACATACTGTATAAATCATAGATACAATACGATATTTTTGTGGCGATGAATTGTCGTAGCGATAAACTGTCGTAGCGATGAAAAGTCGTGGCGATGAATTGTCGGCTCTGAAAGGTCGCGCGATAAATTGTCGCGCGACGAATTGACTGGATACCGGAGATTATATCATAGGCGCAGGATTTTTCAATGGTAGGTAGGTATCCTGAGTGCATTTAGTTTGATAGTTTAATTTATTTGAGAAAGGATTAAATTAGATGCACGAAGAGTTTTTTAAAATTATTTCACGAATAAACAATTAGCCTAAACTACGGAATTTTTATATTCCTAGTAGTAATGAACTCTACAGATGCATTTGCGTGTCAAACTAGTACATTTTAATTGATAAAAAAACATGAATTGATTCCAAATTGATTTATGAGTTTTGACTGTATTAATTGGAATATTATTTCATCACCAACCGTATCTATATTGAAAATATCACAGGTATTACTTTTGCTTAATATACAGTGTTACACATAAAGTGCGCATCGTATGTGATTTTTTTTTTCTAAATGATGTAGATACATTTTGACTTTGCCATTTTTTGTTACTTCAAAAATGATAACCAATAACATGCAAATGGAAAATCACGTGACTTTTAATGTCAAAATTGACTTTTTTTATAAAAAAAGCAAAAAACCTATGCCTAAAAGTTACTAATTTTTTACCCATATACCAATTTTCAACTTTTTTTTATTTTTTCTACCAATTCATTTTAAGGTTACTAGAATTTACGCTAACCTGCATAAATTAATCTGTTTACGCGATGCGTTTCTTTTAAATGTTTTTTTGTTAAAAAGTATTTTATACAACTAAACTCCAGTAACCCAAAACTGAATTGGTAGAAAATAAAAACTTGACACGGGCTATATATGGGTAAAAAATTATAAAATAAGCAACTTTTTGTTAAACTTAATGACAGTAAACTTACTACAAAGGGTATATAATGTACATATAATATAAAATAATACAAATTTTTTTTTGATCCGTGCAACCCATTAAGACCTTCAAGGTTGAGCATGGGGTACACTGACCAGTAAAAAAGGTTTACACTTCGTATACATATTTTTTTTTTTTTTTTTTTTTTTTTTTTTTTTTTTTTTTTTTTTTTTTTTTTTTGTTAGATACATATTATTATTCTTAGATTTCAAGAATTTTTTCAATGTCATCGGCCTTTAATGATTTTATGTATCTTTTAAAAATAGTTTTTAGAGATGATATTGAGTTTAATTTTCTTAAATACATTTTATATATTTCTGGGAGAAAGTTAAATAATCGTGGTGCTAAAAATTGGAAATACCTAGTTCCTAT